CCACAGTGGAGAGATTCCTTTCTCGGTGAAACCCCTTTTGAGCTCAATACCCACCACCACCACCAACACCACTCACTCACCAAGCTCGCTCTCTCTCTCTCTCTCTCTCTCTCTCTCCTCTTGCTGGTGTTCCACCTCGTCGCTGTGCATTTCATGAACTCCGGAGATGATGAGAGAAAATCAGTCATCGGAAAATTCCAAACCGGTAAAACTGAAACTTTCTTCAGGTAAGAAAGGGTGGCTTAATAAGTTATTTGGGTTGCTTTTTAATTGGTTAAATATTTCAATTCGGAAAAGTATCTGTTTCTAATATTTACATGCTACTTCATATTTTTAGAGTAAATTTGAGTTCTCTGCTTTGAGCTTCTCCGTTGAGGTCGATGAGGCAAATCAAAAAGTAGGAAAATGAAAAGAACAGAAAGATCAAATTGAAAACAAGGGGCATTCCGAGAATCGAACTCGGGACCTCTCGCACCCAAAGCGAGAATCATACCACTAGACCAAATGCCCTCTATATGCCAGATAATACCTGCAAATCATAATTACTTTGATCTAGGATTCGTTTTCTTTTATTAATAGCAGTCATCCAGATCCAGTTGCTTCCTTTTTTTTTTTTTTTTTTTTTTTTTGTTTACTTGTTCCTTATGGATATTTTGTTGGACTTTAATACCCTGAATTAGAGTGAAACTTCGTTACGACTAGGGCAGCTCTTACATGGGACGGGCTTCGGTTTTGTGAGAGGTGTCCAAGGAATGACATGTTTCGTAGCCCTACCCAAGTTTTTCTCCGAAAGTTGGGTGCCCTAGGGATGAGGTAGTCACGCTAGTTAAGCTCACGGATTACGATCATGAGAATGACTTTGAAATTCCCTTCCCCATCCCATGTTTGGAAAGCACAATCTTGGGAATGCTATTCTTGGCTCATGGGTATAAATGTGGAATTTTGAAACCTTTGGCCCCCTAGCATAAATTCACTAGGGACTTCAAAGTATTGATTAACTCTCCTTGGTCCTGAAAATCGGCATAAATTAACAAATGGAACACCGATGCTTTGTGTGGTACAATTGTAAAGTAGGGTTCTCTAGCTAGTGTGCGGATCTAATGGTTTCTTACTAATATTTAGTTCAGTTAGCATCAAAACTGGTGTTGGAAACAGCGTCTTCGGATTACTAGGTGTCGTGAGTTGATTTAAGTCCGTGTGTGTGATATCAATGGCATTTCAAGAAATCGAACTCTTTATCTCTTGCAACATGTTTAGAGCAATCCTATATAAAAAAGGTCGTACCCAGTGCACAAGGCTCCCGCTTTACGCAGGGTCTGGGAGAGCAATCCTATATGAATAAAAAAAAGGAGTAAAACATTGTATGGGCCACATTTTCGGATCAGCTAAATGATGTTTACTTGTCATAACGGGTGCTGCTAGTGTTTACGTAACTTTTGTTCATGTTTTTGTTGGCTTTAGCTGATTGGCCTGATTGATTAAGTTAGTACTTTCTGTGGCTGATAATATCTGATCCTCTGTTTCAAGTGTTTTGCAATTTTTTTCTGCTCGAGTTTTTGTTAGGCGTTATGTGTGGATTTCTGGCTAAGATGAAACAGGATTATAGGATTAAAATAAAACCTAAAAAGGTACAAAAAAAGGGGCATTCCGAGAATCGAACTCGGGACCTCTCGCACCCAAAGCGAGAATCATACCACTAGACCAAATGCCCTCACAATCAACATTTACACGTGGAAATGGTAATTATCTTAAATCTGTGAATGGTTTTTTATGCTATTGCATTGATCCAGTGTCTCCTATTGCCATATACTTGTTTCTTGTGGATACGGTGTCTGACCTCTTATGTTGTGTTTCCCATGAAGTTATATGACTGATACAGTAAAATGTGGAATTCTTCTTAAAATACTAGTAGCTTAGCATTAAGTATCGATACATTGGTTCTGAAAATCTGTATAAATTAGCAATTGGAATGCTTCTATCTGTGCTACAATTAGGGTTCTCTAGGTTACGCATTCAATCGTGTTTTGCTAATATTTCTTAAAGCTAGCTCCGACCTGTTTTCCCTAAGAAACCAAAACTTGTTCGGAAAACTAAACTTAACATCTTGTGTTGAAGTGCAGGTGTGGTAAAATCTAAATGTTTGAGGTAGGGCATTTCCTGAAAGGGCCTCAAGTAGTCGGAAGCAAGAATTATGCGGTGCACCAAGCCTTATCAATGACGTCCAAGTACTCAACTCTTCATCTTTCGCAACCAAATCAAGAAGAGTAATGTTCCATGGAAAAAGAATAGCCACAGGTAACACAAAAAGGGGCATTCCGAGAATCGAACTCGGGACCTCTCGCACCCAAAGCGAGAATCATACCACTAGACCAAATGCCCTCTACTGATGATTAGAACGTGCAAATAGTTAATTAGCCTGACAAAGGATTGGTTCTGTTTTGTCTACTCTTCATGTGATATGCCCGTGGATTTGGGATCTAACCTTCAAATGTTTGGTTTGACCCGCAGATGCGTCAGTATCAGGAAGACGGTGATGCAATTTGCAGTGGAACTATTCAATATAAGTTGTTTTTTATTTGGTTGGATATGTTAAGTTGAGTTTTCACATTCGTCAACATAAATAAAGTTTACAATTTTGAATTCGAGGCACTTCTTCGATGGTCCCCGTCTGCCCCGCCTAACGGCATGGGTTGCGGCATCCAATGAGGCTAATCCAGCAGAGTAGAGGAGCGAATTCGACTCACTTTCTTTCATGTGAAATTTGTAAGTTAAGTCTTTTATGAAATTTGTGTACGGATATTTAAAGAAATTATCTGTTTTAAGAATTTGTGTAGAGGCTATGATGTTGGTTGATTGAGAGCAACTCCACCCATGGAGCCCTTCCCCCTGTCAATCCACTATTCAATCCACATTTTTGAACAGTAACTGCCTTTAATAAATAGTAATTGCCATTAATGAACAGTAATTGTCATTTGCATTTCGACCCTTGGAGCCCTCCTCCCTGGCAATAGGCAATAAAATATTAGTTTTTTTTGTTTGTTGAAATAATACAAAATAAAATTATTTGTAATTTCGGATAAGATTTTTTAAATCGTTCTCGTTGCGCCACGTGTCATTTTATAAAAAAAAACAATTATTTAGCGATGGATTTCGATAAGATTTTTATCCAATGTCATCGTGTCATGTGTCGTTATCTTTTGAGAATCTTTGACGATTGATTTCGATCAGATTTTAACTCGTTCAAAATTGCGTCACGTGTCAGTAGTCATTTTGTGGAAAAAAATTGGACTAAAACTTTGAGAGAAAGATAGGAATTTGATTGAAGGTGGTTGAGAAAATATGAAATTGTGGTGTAAGGTAGATGGAGAATAAGTGGTATTTATAGAAAAGTAAAAACAATTTTTTACAAATTTTTTTTCAGATTTTTTACAATTTTTTCGGATTTTTTTCCATTTTTTAAAAAAAAATTCAAATAATTAATCTCTGCCGTTGGATTTAAAAAAATTTGAATTCCAACACTCCAGATTGTGCCACGTGTCACAACGGTAACTTTTCTTAATTTTTAAACTATTTTTTCTTTATTTATAAAGCATATTAATATCGACCGTTGATCTCAGATCGAACGGTTGATATTAAATAAGATTTGTTTTATTTTTTTACCGTTGAGATCCAACGGTCCAAATGAAGGAGCCGTTGATATCGAACGGACTGTGGGAAGCCACGTGGCTTCCCAACGGTAACTGAGAGCACTGCAAAAGGCGCCTGATTTTTTTGAAAAGCTGTCGGGCGACGCGCCCCCACGCGAGAGTGGGGTGCACGCGCCTGACAGAAAAAAATAAAAAATGGGTGAAGAGCTAAGGCTCACGGTCTGTCACAAATTGACAGGCCTTCTGCTCGGGCCTTCTCCATGAGCTCGGGCTCTTCATGGCTGGAGCTGATTGACAGGCTCTCGGGCCCTTTCTTCTCCCCTGTCCCCCGACCTACATGCAAGCTGGAGTTGCTCTTAGAAATTGACTCCCCCAATTATGTCACAACTAACATCATGATGAAATTCTAGCAATCGAGTACATTTAGGCCCATCACCCTACTGTTTGTCTTCTTTTTTTTTGGGTGAACACTGTTTTTGTCTTTGACATTAGCATTTTAACACCTCTTTGACGGATTTGATAGAATTCAGACACTCAATCAAGTTCATAGTGTTAAGATGTGGAATTTGAATTTTACGGAGAGAAGTGAGATTGAAATGAAGTTGATAAAGAATAGATAAATAATGGTTACCTTCTCCTTTATTTTTAAGATTCAATAATATTATTTGATGATGTGAAACGTTTATTTTCTGTCATTTTAAAAAAATCATCTCTACCGAAAATCAACCAAATCAAAATTCGTTTAACCGTTCGATTATGTTGTCATGATTACATTGTTTAATTGAGGAACATGGTTCATCTATTATTGGATAAAAAGTCAAATGACTAGATGAATTTGAATCATCAAATGATATAGCAAGTGACCCTACCATAGTAGTGGATAGAAGTGTTGTCCTTGCACTATGGTATGGTTCAAACGCCGTCAACTCTCTAATCTAATATCTAATCTAACAAATCTATCGTTTGATAAAATAAAATAAAAGATCATGAAATAATATTGAAGAATCGTAAACATAATTAACACAAGAAGCTGAAAAAAGAATTTACAAAAAGAAATGTAGCCTGGCAATATTTTCTCCGCAAAACTACTAAAAATGGTAAAATTAATCTCGAAATTATACGAAAAATAGTAAAAAAGCAGACATAGTAAAACATATATAAAGGAAAATGCTAGAAAGGATATTGGATGGAATGGAATTGCTTTAAGTTCGGACAGCATGATTGCCAAATGGCCACAGCCATCCGTTTATCTACAAATTTTGCTTAGGAGTCGCCCGCAACTCCCTCCCACCCACAACTTTTCATCTCCCTCCGCCTCTCCAGTTTCCAATAAATAACTAGGGGAGTGAAAACATAGAAGGATTAAGGAAAACAAAAAACTGGTTAAGGACAACGAAAGCTAGGGTGCTGCAGGCTCTCTCTCCCTCTCTCACTTTTCTCTCACTTGGTCTTCATTTCAAAGGGTTGGTGGTGGTGAGTTGAGGTTGTGGGTTGGAAGCCGGAGGCCATGGCAAGCTTTGCAAGCACCACGCAAAAGTGTACAGCCTGCGAAAAGACTGTGTATCTGGTTGATCGGTTGGCCGCCGATTCCAGAATTTACCACAAGGCCTGCTTCCGATGCCACCACTGCAAGAGTACCCTCAAGGTACAAAATTAACTTTTACATGAACTGTTGCTCCTTGTGTTAATTCCATGCATGCACGTATTGTATGCCATCTCTCGCTCCTTTTCACGTTTTCCTTTCTTTTCTAATCAACATTCTGTGGAGTTCAAACCTAAGACTTCATACAATGTTGATACGAAAAATACAATTAGATCAAGAGCTCTAATCAACGATTATTCTTCACTTTTACTTTTATTGCCAACATGTGCTTCGATTAAAATACCTGGAATTACATGGTTTTGCTCAAATTCGAAGCGAAAATCCTGTTGAATTATAAGGAAAATTCAGTAATATTCTCTTCTTTTTTTTTTCTTTGTTTCATTTGCAGCTCATCAACTATTGTTCATTTGAGGGGGTTCTCTACTGCAGGCCTCACTATGATCAACTCTTCAAGCGAACTGGCAGCCTGGACAAGAGTTTTGAAGGTAAAATCTCAAAAACAATTACCTCTGTTAAACTCTTTTATCTTATACCTCTTTTTGCTGGGAATTTTTACTCTTAAGGAACCTAAAAAAAAAACAAAACTTTGTTAATTTTGTTTCAGGAACACCAAAAGTCGTAAAGCCAGCAAGACCTTCTACGGAAAATGAGGTAAAAAATCTCTTTTGCCAAGTGAGATAAAATTGAAGGTTCAGAATACAACTCCTCACTGTATACTCCAGTTATGGGACAGACACCCCTTCTTTGTATATTAAAAAACGTATTTTTGATATGTCATTGATAAGTGTCGATACCATTATTATTGCCAACAAAACATGCCGACATGTTATGGATGCATTACAGACTGTATTAATTCATGCCCTAAAAAAGTAAAGAACTAACGTCATACACAAAGAATTTATGTCAAGGACTAAAGTGTGTTGCTAATAAGAATTAAATCTGACTCTTGCAGAATGCCAAGTCAGTCTCAAACTTGTTTGCCGGTACCAGAGATAAATGTGTGGGCTGTGAGAAAACTGTTTATCCAATTGAGAAGGTACAAAACCTACGTAATTTTTTGCTACCATTATATGAAAGCTCAAATTTTCTTCCATTGATTGCATTCAAACCCTTTTGAACAAAATCTTAAATTATTAAATTAATGTTACTCCAAAGGTTTCCGTCAACGGGACTCCATACCACAAGAGTTGCTTCAAATGCAGCCATGGAGGTTGCACCATAAGCCCATCCAATTACATTGCACATGAAGGAAAGCTCTACTGCAAACACCACCACATCCAACTCTTCAAGGAGAAAGGAAATTACAGCCAGCTCGAGAACGAACACGAAAAGCTTACAATGACTGAGCAAGCCACTCATATGGAGATTGCTGCTGAATCATGATCACCATCTCTTTCTCCTTGTGTGACTTCCACCATTTATGTCGTTGGTATGTCTTGTTTTGTTTCTTGATCATTATTCATGGGCACTCGGATGTATCGCGAGATTGAATGTATTCGGGTATGAACGGTTTGCTTTGACGGTTTTTACTGCAGCATTTTAAAACATTTGTCGTCGCTATTTTTCAGTTTCTTTCTACTTTAACACGTGCTTCAAAAGAACACTGCTCGACTCCTTACGTATAGAGTTATTCCTCTTTTAACAACAAATCGCAGTCTAACACATGAAAAATATCTCATTTAAATCCCAAAAACAAAATTTTCAACACGGGTCAATTATGATTCATCTGCAAAACAGAACGATTCCATAACTTTTACGTCTCTGGAGTTCATATCATATGAGAGCTCCAGAAGTAACAAGACACTGACGCAACTTTCCTGTCAATCACCCAGGCCGGTTAACTCACTCCCGGTAAAGATTGAAACTGGCGGCTACCGTTGTAAGACATTGATGAAGATATTGGTTAATATGTAAAGGCATCCATACCATTCTGCCATAAATCTTGGTTCAGCTATTGCTACACCCATACTGTACATGAGCAACAGATGAATACATCCATGTGTGTTCACAGGAGTACTGAAATCCCTAATCACTCAAAAGGAAATCAGATTTACAATGCAACCGGTTACAAATGTACAATGACAAGATGCTGCATGAACCTGTTTTTGGCCCTCAACGACTGAGTTTAATTTTCTACTTCTTGAAGAATCGTCACTGTATCCGACTCTCTCGTTAGCATGAATCTGTTCAAAGGTAACAGTTATGCTTTGGCGTCTAACCCGTCATGATGAACCATAACTGAAGTTAAAGTAGATCACTCCTGTTTCGGTTGAGAACCATTTTTGTTCATGTTGTCTTTCAATATTTGTGCTGCAAGTATTAGGAGCTCCACCATCTCAAGTCCAGCGGCATAAACAGAATCTATCTTCTCATGGCTGGGCTCCCAATAAGCATGACCAGGCTCATTGCGGATGCTCTGACCATTGAATTCAACGTCTTCATCTGCTGACCAACTAATCGGTAGGGAGCTGCTAAGTGCAGTCTTCACTAGTTTTGCCTCGTTAATAATGTCATTGATAGTTTCTGATAGGCTAGCAAATGTTGTACTTCCAGAAGTCACCGACTCTTTGACCTATAAAGTAGGTTAAGCACAAACACTAAACACATTAATTTCATATGGTAGACCAATGCAAACCCGCTAAACAGACTAGCTTTTGATGAACAGTGTTTCAATGCTAGTGATTAACTAAATAATTAAGAGTGAAAGTTCGCCATATAAAAAACAAAAACATCATAAACTTCCATCAGACCTTTGAAAGGGATAGACGAAGCCTGTGAACTGTAGTAGTCAGATGCTCCATACTTCCCATGCTTTCTTGAAGTGTTGCTATTTCAATTTTCATTCTGAGGAGACAAAAAATGTGGAAGAAAAAGGAATTTGATGTCATATCTACTATCATGTCAGTGGCTAAATCAACGGTGATGCATGTCAAGAACACACATCTACATTATGTATCATTCAACTCAAATTTACCCAAAATATATTCACAAACCTGGCAAACTCCATGCTATCGGACCTCTTGCCAGATAGATTCCCCTCGACATTTAGGCCACTTGCAGCTTCACGTCCCCTAAAGTCTACATTACCAACCCAACGACTCAAGTACGTTTTCTTCAACAAACTTTTTAGCCTTCCATCCCTTTCATGAGTAATTACTTTCCTATCCCCAATTTCTGCACGCAAATTTTCTCTATTTCTCTCTTGACCAATTCTCCTGCACATGATCATTGATAGTACTTTCAGTAAGTTAAGCAAAAAATCACTAAAAGGCAACGAAGAAAGTTACCCTCAAACAAAGGAAAAATTAACAACACATCTATAATGCCAACATTTCTAAAAGTAAGGCAGAAATCTGACTCTTTAAGCTGATGATAATCCTGCTTCAATTGTGCAAACTCCATTAGAGCTTTTACTTTTTCATTGGTAACCTGAACCAAAAAGAAATAATTGGACAGTTCATCAATGAATCCAAAAATTGTACAAAACTTTTAAGGTCGCATCGAACAAGGAAATTCATCTGTGAACCAAAAATATTCATGCAAATAATGAAATATCAAACTACACAATAAGATGGAAGTATCTGGAGGTCACCATTGAAATGCTTGAACATTATGTGGCATAGTGATAACACCAATAGATAATGTTTGTCTAGTATGAAATGAAGATCCCATATTAGAGTGAGTGGTCAAATTAACAACAAAGTTTACAGTTAACACACAAGTATATTACAAACATCCACATGAAATTTCACAATTTGTTAGCTCCGCATAACACAGTACCTATAGTGCAGTCTTTCACAAAAAATTTAATGAGTTACCAGGAAATTGCATACAACATCACTGAGCTAATGAGCAGATCGGTTTAGTTACATTCAGATGACTGGAGAGAAACAAGTAATCTGACAGATGGCACTTCAAAGAAGCTACCTGCAGTAAGTTTCTGTGAAGCTCTTCTATTTTTCTTTCAAGAGCTGCATTCACATTTCTGTCAAGTAAATATCTTTCTTCCTGCTGTGAAAGAAGTAATAACGTTGACACCTGAAAAATATTTATGGTTAAAGAAAGAGCAACTGCAAATTAGGAACTATCAGATTTCAAAAAAAAGATAAACCAAAAGACCTTGTCTTGCAATGCCTGTGCAAGGGCTTCAGAGTAATCGTTTCCTCTAACTGCCACAAACTCTGATGAGTCAGGACCACTATTCTGCAATCAGTATGGAAGATATCACGAGTGACAAAATGTAGGTGGAAAATTAGATCAATTACATCCTCAGAACTTCTTTTGAGTTCACCAACCACAAAGAAAAAAAACTCTTTCAAGCAGTGCTTGGCTTGGAGTCAATCAGAAAAAAGGAAGCACTAATTCCAATGAAAGTCCACAAAGATGTCTGTTGTCAAACATCACTGAGATAGTAAGCAGTTTCCTCTATTAGGGTGCAGTGAACAAACCTTGGATACCAATTGGGGGTCAGCATCAGTAGTTTTATGCCTTTCGAGTCTGGTTGCATAAATTTGCCTACTATTTTCCTCTATAGCATCAATTACTGATTTGATACTAGCCTTTCCCTCGTTGAGTAAATTCATGATGAGAACTCTATGCTGAGAATGGTAATGATGCAATTCTGCAATCTCATGTTTTATCATTTTATCTGTAAGGATCTGCATGTAAGCCCACCAGATTTACAGTAAGAATGAAATTGAGATTTTTTTTTTATAATTTTTTTTTTTTTTTTTGAGAGAGAAAGAAATTGAGATTGAACTAAATGATTTTCGGTTTAATTTTTTCAAGCAAGAAATTACCTTTTTCTTTTCCAATTCACCAACTCTCCTCTTTAAATGATTTTCAATTTCCAAGCCCTACATGCCACAAGAAGATCAATTTTTGGAAAATAGACCATAAAAATTAGTGTGCAATGCAAAGCTATTAAGTACGAAGCAAGTTGCTTACCATCCGTAGCCTGTTTTGAAGATTATCTACAGATTTCCTTGTCCTCTCGAGCTCTTCCTCTAATGCACTCTGTCTGAGGATAAGTTACTCAAGTTGCATACGGGACATAAAATCTTAATCTAGTGACAACCGCAATTTTTTTTTAATAAATTAGGCAAAAGTTTTCAAATGCAAGCACGATGTCAATTCAATCTGGAAAACTAAACAAGACGACAATATTCTATTTGATTCACAAGGTTCTCAGAGAGAACAGTCAATCTATACTTGTCGAATATGGTTGCTAATGTTTTTATTTCCTCAGCAAAGAGATGTTTAATATTTGGCAATTCTTAAATTAATCCTTTAGATCTACTGTCTCCAGTAACTCAAACTTAGGTTATCATGAATTTATAATGTTTGATATCGTTACCCATTTACCCCTTCACGAGAATGAAAAGTAGAGGGTTATGCAAACTTACAATATATTTAGATGTTGAAGCATCATTGAAACTCCACCATTCTGCAGGATCATGCAAAAGGCATGCACATTTTCTGTCCCAACTTGTACTCTCACATCCCTCAGGGCTTTGCTGCCTGATCTCATAAAATTTATCGATTACCTGTTATGAACATAATATCTCCATAAGAACCATGCCAAATCTTTCTCAAAACAAACTAAGTGAAATAGGACAAAAGGAAAAGAATAAAACTGAAGAACAATGGTCAATGTTAACATAGTTCTAGCTATACCTTGAGCGCACACACGTCTCCAAAAAACCATGCAATATGCTTTCTATTTGCTAAATATTAGTGGAAAGATAACTTGCTGATTGTTTGGGACTGAAAGTGCAATTAAATGCTAGTATCTGATTCGCCAAGTAACATCTTTACATCCTTACGAACATACATCAGATGTTTCTTCATGATTCAGAAGCACGCATTCAGAAAGTCACCATGCTTGATGATTTGAACATTATATAGGTAACATGGATAACATAAGGGAGGGAGGAAGAAGAAAGTGAAAGGGAGGGAACCCAGGATCACCTTCTTGAAAGCTTCAATCTTCTCTTCTTGCATTGCTAAATCACTTTTCAGTTTATCATTAAGTTTCTTCTGTTCAGAACAATCTGCAGTTTGTTCTTCGAACCTGTATCACAAAAAAGATGCACATCATCATGAAAGAAGTATGCTTTCACTTGCATCAGAATTTCATCTTGGCTTTATAGCTCAAAACAATTATGGAAATAACGAAAATGCCTAACCACAAGTTCCCGCAATGACAAGTAGATGCCCAACATATAGGATACAGAAAGCCAAGATTAAAGAAAGTAAAAGTATAACATTTCTGGGAGAGATATTATTCTGGTTTTCTTTTCTAACATTTGCTGCTTCTAATCAATTCTCTATTCGTCAGTGGCTAATAGATACCTCTTCTCTATATCACATAATTTGTTTGACATGAGCTCCTCTTTTTCCTTAGCCTTCTCAGCCTGTGATAAGCCACATAACATATTTAAAACTTTGATTTTCATAAATACCCCAAGCAAAAAAGTACTTAATAAGTGCCATACATGCAGAAAATAAGCTTAAAATAAAGGACAGCTGCCCTAACCTCCATTATTGAATGATCTCGTTCAGCAAAAGCTGCAGCCACACAGCCCTGGAAAAATTTAAGCTGCTTTTCTGCTTCCACATTCTAGGCAAACAAATTCAATATATAAGACCCAAGAACGCCACCATGAAATTAATTTGCATTCATTATTGAGATGTAAAAGAGCGTTCGTGTAAGAGAGACCTTTGCAACCTCTGCACCATGCAGATCAGCCAACTGGCCCTGAAGGTACAAAGCACACATGTTAGCTTTCATAAGCAGTTACACTATCAAGGGAAGAAAGTTAAAGGTCTCACTTTGATTCTGTAAGCCTCCGAAAGCTCTTCTTGAAGATTCACATTATCTCTGGTGCAAGCAGCTAGCTTCTTTTTCAAGTTTTCAATTTCCTGCTCCAAGCCAGCTGTCCTAATATGACATTAAATTTTAATGCAAAACACATTTATAGTTTTCTTCATCGTAGCACCCCAGGGGCCATGGGTGACAAATTTTCCCTTCCCCGCCTCCACTATAAAGACTGGAAAACAACTTGATCGTATTGACTGGGGACGGAAGTTATACCTTTGAAAATGCATCTTAGTGGCCACAACAAGGTAGCTTGGACCAGCTTGTTGCATACACAGTTGTTCAATGTCTTTGCGCAATTCATCACGCTCTGCACAACATTATAATCCACATATATTATCTTTCATGTTAGTATAGATTAGACACCAAAATCCAACTCAGGGTCACAAACTGAACAACACGGTATATACAGAAGCGCAACTTATGTGTTTGCAATATACAGGACCGCACAAAACCAACTTCCGAATTAGCGTAGCATAATGAATAGCCAGACCAATTCTATTTAAAAGAAAGAAAAACAAAACCAACAACAACAACAACATAAATTGGAGATTGATGACACAATAAAATTAGCACACACCATTTTCGAGCTGATGAATTCGAGCCAACAACGATTCCTTATCGCTTAAATCTTCATCCATTGTCAGAAACAGAAGCTGAGGTCAAACATTAAAAGCATCAGGCAATAAACTTACCAATTACCATAACCAACCCATTCGCAGAACATGATTCCCGAGTAAAAAACGACCCCGTTTCACAATTTGGATATTGCAAGAAGCCCACGAACCAAAATTCAACAGAATAAAATGACCAAGATCAATAATTTAATTCAAAAGAATACTTGAACGCAAGAGAAAACGATTGGAATTGAATAATTTTAGATTTAAGGGTTGGAAACAAAGGGAAAGACTTCATCTTTTTGGTGTTACCTGAATATGTAATAGGAACAACGACAACAGCAACGGGAGGAATTCAGATTCAAGGTCGGAGAGGAGAGGAGAGGAGAAGGAGTTTGCTTTCGTTTGCTCGCTGCAAGAACTCAATCTGAAAGAAGGCTGGGGTGGTGGGTGTTTCGTCTCTGTCTTTTATTTTTTATTTGAGACATAATTACTGGGTCTAAATACGAAAAAAATATATTAGTGTAGAAAGAATGTAGTGCACTGGATTCTGAAATTTTTTTACTCTAATTTTGGACTGACTATTGGTCAAATTGTGGGCCTCTTCTAAATTTTTCTCTTCGCCAACTATGCTGACGTTTGCTACATTTCATATCTATAGCATTGGTGACTCGACAGACAAGTGTATATGGAAACTAACTAGTGATGGTAACTTTTCTTTGAAGTCTACCTATGTGATGGACTTAGACGCTACTATGAATACTAAGCGGCAATAGAGTTTTATCTGGGAGTTGCATCTTCCCCTTAAAGTGCTCTCTTTTCTTTGGCTTGTGTTGCTGGACAAATTATTGACCAATGTTCAACGAGTTGGACAATCCTTCATGTGGCAGATGTGATGGTGATTTTGAATCAATTATTCACGTCTTTAGAGACTGCTCCTTTGCTGCTAAAGTTTGGAGAAGTTTCCTTGTTCCTGATCAATTTTTTACTAATGCATGTACTACTAATTGGTTCCAAAATAATCTCTCTTTCAAAATATTAGTCTTGGATAATTTGGAATGGAGACTTATTTTTTGCATTACCTGTTGGCTCTATGGCACTGGCGAAACAAAAATATTTTTGAACAAGATTTTTCTCCCCTTAATGATCCCAAATCTATGATCATTACCCATTTGAAATATTGGATTCTAGCAAATATGATTTCTTTAGTAAAATCCCTTTGAACACATGCTTTTCTTCATTGGGAACCTCCTCCTAAGGGTTGGGTAAAGCTTAATGTTGATGTCGCAAGGGGGAGGCCAACTTCAATGGTGCTGATGGCGTCCTTAGAAGCTCGTCGAGGGCATGGGTTTCTGGTTTTTGTGCCCATCTTGGTTGAGGTGAGATTCTATGTGATAAAGTTTTGGGTGTTTTTATTGGGGTAAACTATCGGTTTACCCCCTGAACTTTCACCTCACTTTCGATTTCCTCCCTGAACTTTTCTATTGGAAAATTAAGGACTCAAACTAATTTTTTTAGCCAATTTGCCCCCTACCGTTAGTTTTTCATATATTCCATCCATATTTCCGTTAAGTGAGACCATGTGAGGATAGTTAAGTCATTTCAATTTAAAAATGATTAAAAACTGAAAATAAATAATAATAATAATTTTCCCCCTATTTTTTCCCGCTAATTCATATCCTCAATTTTAATTTTCCCTCTCATTCCTATGCATGAGAAATAACATATGGTGTTATTGTCTTCATAAGTACCTAAGTTAATCTTTTTTTTGAAGCATGTACTACCATTTTTATTTTCTCTAACAAATTAATAATTTGACAAATGCTCATGGTGTTATTGTCTCCAAAGAAGTGCATTAATATAAGAAACATGTCCATAAAAAAGACTAGGGTTTCTTATATTAATGCACTGCTTTGGAGACAATAGCACCATTAGCATTTGTCAAATTATTAATTTGTTAGAGAAAATAAAAATGGTAGACAATAACACCATATGTCATTTCTCATGCATAGGAATGAGAGGGAAAAATAAAATCGAGGATAGGAATTAGCGGGAAAAAATAGAGGGAAAGTTTTGCTTTTTTTATTATTTTCAGTTTTTAATCATTTTTAAGAGTGAAATAACTTAACTACCCTCACATGTTGTGCATATGGTCTCACTTAACGGAAATATGGATGGAATATATGAAAAGCTAACGGTAGGGGGCAAATTGGCTAAAAAAATTAGTTTGAGTCCTTAATTTTCCAATGGAAAAGTTCATGGGGGAAATCGAAAGTGAGGTGAAAGTTCAGGGGGTAAACCGACAGTTTACTCTTTTTATTGGGTTGCAACTTGCATGGAATAATGAAATTAAGAAGATTATGGTAGAATCAGATTTTGCTCTTGCAATTTCAAATGCAAAAGTGGATAATCACCCCCCTAGGAAGTTTAGTATTGAATTGTTGTACCCTTATGCACCAACACTGGTTTGGTGAAATTCATCATATCTATCGTAAAAAGAATTTTGTTGCTAATGATTTGGCTCATTTAGGTTTGTCATGCAGTTTAGGTTCAGAGTTTTCTGAGCAAGCTCCTCATTCTTGTCATTGGTTACCAATTGCAGATATAGCTGAAGTTTCATGACCTCGTCGTGATCTTGTATTGTAATCTTTCTTTTTCTTTCAGGGCCATGCCCAGTTGTCAACCAAAAAAACAAAACAAAAAAAAATTTATTCGCCATTTTAATATGATATTCAATTGGAATTTTGAGTTCCTTGGGGAGAAATCCGTAAAATTAGAATTTTGAATTTCTTGTTTTTTTAACAAAGAATTTTGAAATTTTTTAAATTGTAGTCTCTGTCTTTGTTGTCGGGAGAAAAACTAAGGTCAGTATTCGGAACCGTTGCGATATTCCAACTGTATTGCCGGCAATCGTCATAATAACATAAATATAAGCTCAAAACGGAGGGGGCAAAAACTATATCATTGAATCAGACTAAACACTACGATCCAGAAGCATATACATCTTGTTGCTATATGAATGAACTAACCCAACCAATGACAGCATGCCCTAAGCCCTCGAGTTAGTAGGGAAGACCCCGCTCTAAACGGGCGGAGAGCAGGGCGGCGCAAGAGTCACCTTCGAAGATAAAAGTGATAGCCGCCTCCTCCTTTCTTTAAGGCCAAGAAAAACAAGGTAAAGAAAAAATAACAAGACAATTACAAAAAACTTTTCTATCCCACTGTGAGTCCTAATTTTCTGCGTTACAATGCAGATTTATGGTTTGCAAAAGGAAATGAACAACTGCCATGAACCAGACGGGTCTCAATACCTACCTTCCTACAATGAAACTAATCAAAATACAAATCACCCATCTCTGTGTAGGTGAATTTGATAACATAATTTACAATTACAATGAAACATGCGCCGGTCCCAAGAAACTTCTGGTTCATTGCTCTTTCATGTTTCGAACTTCAATCAGGGACGATTCATCTGGCATATATTGACAGGAAAGTAAAATCAAATTCAAAAGCTTGGTAGAGATAATGAGACAAAGTTACAATCCAATTACCGTAAACCCTGTTTAGACTAATAACGATGGAGAGAAAATGTTGTGGGCATGTGTGGCTTCATTATAATCATTAAACAAAAAAATAAATGCTGAACTAGAACAACAGCCAGATACATACTCGAGTCCAACAACAAAGTTACATTACGCGCTTCACACACACACATATATATTACAAGCATCTACAAATACACAATATCTTTGTTGGTTGGAGTGCAGTTACGAAGAGAGAGGTTTTGTGCAAGGAAGGAGACTGAATTGGTTGAGAGAGAGAACCAAGCAGATGTTGAATTCAGGGGAAAAAGAAAAACCAAGTAATGTATAGTCATCATGTTATCTTGCATTCGGCCCAGGTTGCACACGCAATTTTCAATTGTGGAGAATAATTACCGTCTATTGGCTTTTTATCCAAAATTGTTCCTGAAATTTGCGTAACTCCTCAATTTGGTCCCTAAGATTTGAAATCAATAGAGGTGGTCCCTGAGTTTGTCCACCACCAATCATTTTGGTCATTGCTTGAAAAATCTCCATTAAATAAAGATAAAATGACAAAAATACCCTCAAATTTTGTCAAATCATTTTGGCCCATTGTTTATTAAATTGAGCGTATTTTAGTCATTTGGTCCTTATTTAACATAATTTTTCATGGAATGACCAAAATGCCCATTGTTTATTAAATTGAGGGTATTTTTGTCATTTTGGTCCTTATTTAACATAATTTTTCAAGGAATGACCAAAATGATTGACGGTGGACAAACTCTAAGACCACTTCTATTGATTTCAAATCTCAGGAACCAAAGTAATGAGTTATGTAAATTTTAGGGACCATTTTGGCTAAAAAGCCTTGTCTTTTTGCCAAAAGCAAGCATAAACTCAAGCCAAGATTATAAACTCACAACTTAAGCATTTCAACTCAAGACAAGACAATAAATTCACTGTAAAAAAGATAATATGCTATGTGAACTTTACCATCTTCGCAGCATTTCTTCCTTTAGTGTCTTCATAGCTGCTTCTGCAAAAGCTTGTGCTGCTTCTGCATCAGCTTCAGCAGCCTCAGTCTCCCTGGCTGCCTCTTCGGCTTCAGCAATGGCAGCTTCTTCATCTTTCACTGCTTGAGCAGCAGCTAAAGCAGCTTCTTCGGGGGTCATAGTCCTCATCTTCGCAAGCTCCAAATCAATTTGGGCTTTCATCAGGATAGCCTCATCATTGTCAAATTTTAGGGACGCCATGTCTTCCCTCAAAAGGAGACGCCATTGTCTTCCCTCAAAAGGAGACGCCATTGTCTCCCCTCAAAAGGATACGTTGATGAATTTCTTCTTTTTTCATAAAACGCTGGAGTAGGTGCACCTGAATCTGCGCTTTACCTATCAAAACAAAAACCCAAACTAGAAATAAAATCAAACTCCAACAACTCTAATCATATTCAATTCCAGGGTTAACATCTCTTGAGGAATATCATGGCTTCAACTAGTGTCCTTTCTTTTTTTTTAAATGAAAATCCCAATTGAAGCACATGAACAAGACAGTATTTCTAAGTAAATTATATATCCAAGTACCAGCAAGCATTAAGTATCATAATATCCTCGATATTTCTCCTTCTACCAAGAATCAGCATTAGATAAAAAGGCTGTTTTTTTTTCTTACACAGTACACTTCATTCAAAATTTCCATCCAACTTCCGCAGATATCAATATTTTCTTGATTTCCATCAACACTACTTTTACATTGTAAATATTTTCATCAATATCCATATTTAATATCAGAGATAACCAAATATAAATCATATTTATAAGCAGAATATGACATTACTTTTCCATTTTTTGTCCAATGTGATCAAAGATTCTCAAGCCATAGCCAAACTCTCTTGAAGCTGTGAATCATAAATCATTTCATAATGCTTCATTTACATATGTAAAAGTTGGTTTGGTAGAGTATGGTATCAAATAAGAAGATATGGGTGGCTCACATATGATGATTTCAATAAACCTTTAATACATGGAATAAATTAGAATTTTACACAATTCAATCACCAATATCTTCTTTTGACAAAAAAAAATAAAAATCACCAATATCTTCACTGCATTCAAAGTTTGGGGAACAATAAACCGTCAATATAAAGCCCTTTTTTTTTATCTACCAAATCTAAGAAAAACTAAGGTGAAAATCTCAGTAAATCATTGTACTACCATGTAAAAAATAAATCCAATTATAGGTGTCAACATGAAATGGAAGAGTACAAGCTGGATGGATGAAGTGGAAGAGTGCATCCGGCGTGTTGTGTGACCGTCGTAGGCCACTGAAGCTCAAGGGAAAATTTTATAGGACGGCAATAAGGCCGGCGATGCTGTATGGCACAGAATGTTGGGCGGTGAAGCATTAACACGTAGGTGTAGTGGAGATGAGGATGCTTCGTTGGATGTGTGGGCACATGAGAAAGGATAAGATTAGGAATGAGGATATCCGAGGTAAAGTAGGAGTAGCCGAAATTGAAGGAAAGAGGAGAGAAAATCGGTTACGGTGGTTTGGACATGTGCAAAGAAGGCCTACTGACACTCCGGTTCGAAGATGTGACTACGGGACAGAGGTTCAGGGCCGAAGGGATAGAGGAAGACCTAGGAAAACTTTGGAAGAGACCCTGAGAAAAGACTTAGAGTACTTGGATCTAACGGAGGACATGACACAAAACTGAGCGCAATGGCATTCTAGGATTCATATAGCCGACCCCACTTAGTGGGAAAAGGCTTTGTTGTTGTTGTTGTTGTATAGGTGTCAACATGAAAAATGGGACCACGAAACAAGTTAAAAACATAAGAATAAACCGATTGTATCAGAAACCAGCAGGTTAAGCCCCCTTTAAACCTATATCATGGAACCAGTACAGAAGCTGAGATTGGACTGAAATGCTTATCTTAAAGCCCTAAACCGTAATAGAAAATCCAATAAGGGGGAGGGGAGGAGGAGAAGTGGGGTAGGCAATAGAAGGAAAGAGAGAATCGAATGCATGGAAAAGAAAAATACCGATTTGGACCTCTGCATCCTTCACCCCAAAGCAAGAGCACTGTGTTCTCTCCCAACTTTGTTTTTTGGCCTTCTCACCAAATCCAACAATGAAAACACGAAGGGGAGGGAGACAACTAGGTATAAAGAGGAAAGGTGGACCGAGAAAAGCAGGAAAACCAAGGAAGTGTTGTACTTTTATGCGCAAACGGAAGCGAATTCTAACAAAGTACCAATATCAACGTCGTAGGTGAAAGCTAAAACAAACAATCTCAAACTAACACAAGAGATTTACGTGGTTCGGCGTAAAGCCTACGTCCACGAGCAAAGCACAGCGAGGAATTTCACTAAACAAATGGAGATTACAAAAGAGTGTTTAAACTCTCACAACCCAAATCCCACAAATTACAAACCCTAAACCAAACGAGTAGAGAACCCAAAACCAACAGAGAAGATTCTCCCAAATTGCCCTCGAACTCACAAACTCACAAATTGACTCTCACCAAATTTGTCAAACAAATGAGCCACACTAAATACACTAACCCTAAGGTCCTATTTATAGTGCATAGGACTTAGGTTACAATAAGAATCCTAAAAAAAAAGGTCGTACCCAGTGCACAAGGCTCCCGCTTTACGCAGGGTCTGGGAGAGGTGAATGTCAGCTAGCCTTATCCCCATTTAAGGAGAGGCTGCTCCCAAGTCTCGAACCCGAGACCTACCGCTCATGGGCGAAGGCACTTGCCATCGCACCAAGTGCGAGCTCTTCAAATAGGTAATAAATTCAAATCCTAATCAAATAGGTAATTAACAAAATCTCTCCACCAAGGAAACTAACTAAGAAGTCAAAACCAAACCCAAATAGGACACCAAAACCAAATAGGTAATAGAAACCTAATTTATTGCATCATCCTAATTTTGAGCCAAAAACCTAACAGGAAGATAATGTATGACTCAAAACATAAAATTATTTTTAATTCAAGATGTCCAGATACCGATTTTATTCAAATAAAGAAAAAGTTCGGGAGATTTACAGGAAATACATCACGCAAAACTATTTTTATTGAATTTAGAGAGCATAAGAGAAGAACCTACCTGCACTCGTACAAATGGAATGTTAAGCAGTGACCAGATTGCCAAAACCGAGGCAAAAGGCACTACATGGACCATAGAAAAGTGCAATTTATCAAGTGATCAATCAGATCTCGAATGATTAAATCAGAGAAAATCTAGGATAAAAAAACCAGCAAGACTGTTTAATTAGTTATCTTCTAAACCTCATTAATTAAATCTGGAAATTACCATGTAAGGGAATTTCAATCAGAACAAGTATGAAGTTGCCAATCACCTATGAAAATGTGTTCCCTTCATGTAGAGCGTAAGTTGACAGTTATTAAAAATTATTATTATCATGTGGCACGTGTAGCTCCAGTTAAGGTGAACATATGCTCCCACACCCAAAGTGGCAGTTTGATCACCCATACCCCTTTGGCCCCATTATTGAACTTTCTAGTACTCCAAAAAACACAACTAAGCCAACCACCCTCATCTAAGAATACTTTAGTTTGAACAAATCCACAACTATTTTAGAAGTGTTATATACTGCTAGGCATGCAGCATATTCCCATATGATCCTTGTTTTTGGAGTACCCATTCCAATATGATGACAAACCTCGGAAAACCTAACCTTTTTATGTATGTGCACATCATTTGATTAATTACCGAACAACAATCAAAAACCACATTGCATGCAACAATTCTGACCCTTTAAATCCAACTTGTTTGTAAGTGCATGAAAATAACAACTCCATGCACATTAAGAAGTCTTTAATTGTTTGTTCCACAAAAAGCACATAATCTAACACCAAAAGACCATAAAGCTAAATATATAGGACACAACGTTTATTAGACCACAAAATATATTTACCTTAATCAGTTTACGAAAAATTTAAAAAGAGAACTCAACTAGTGAACTTGTTTACCACAAAATATAATTAGTCCACAGTAAACTACAAATTAACATATAAGATTACTTGTCCCCATTATTTAGCATTTCAAATTATGAAAAATTTAAAAAGAGAACTCAACTAGTGAACTTCTTAATCTTAATGAGTATAACAAACAAAATCTCCTACATGTTAACAAGAGAGATGCAATGCTGGGTCCATTCCATTTTTTATATCTTCATATAGTTCAATCAGTCCTCCAATTTTAAAATGAAGTCACTAATCTCACACAGCTAACCAATCTAAACCCTTCAAAATGTCATGAATAACATTAACAAACAAATCAACCTGCTGAATCGCACAAGACTTATTTGTCTCAAAACTGAACAGAATATTTCAGATGGGCAATATTTAAGTATGAGAATGGCAATGAATTCGAAAGTCAAGAAAACTGTCTAACCTCACAATAGATTTTCTGGGACCAGAAATCTGCTGGGTCCCACTGGAAATTGAAATAGGCTTAGCTTCCATGTTTTCATCATCGCTTTGAGCAACATTACTGAGAGCCATAGAGTTCTAAGTGTTTTCTTAGCCTTCTCTCGAAAGCCCCATCCATTTGCCATGACACTCATATTTCTCCACTTATCCTACCCACGATAGATACAAAATAATGTAAAAATTGATAAAAGCATCAGTGAACTTCATATCTAACATCATGAGTATTATGATAACAAGTAAATAGTGTTAAAAGAAACCTTACCTTAAGATCTACATTTGAACGAGTATACAGAACACCACTAAATTCTGGATGTTTTAAGTATGGTCCGCCATTTTCCTGCACCATGTTTAATAACTCCAGCTTTAAGGGCTGATTCTTCTTCTGCCGTCCATTTCTGCTTAGGAGCACCCACAGAGGAACTCTGCCAGAGAATCAATCTGCAAAGCCTTAGTGGTCTATATTAGAGCCTACACCCAAGGAAAAAACTTGACATAAGAAAACACATCAAAAATAAAAAAACGAACATCAGTAAACGTTATAATCAAACAGAAGCAACTGTAAAATTGTATTACAATAAACGCCTTCAAACATGGTTTGTATTTGGATCTAGGATTTGAATTTCAGATCCACATTTGTTTTGATGCATTCGAAATGCAACGATTGTAAAGTATCTTGTTTGAAGGCCAAAACAAACAAATCAACAGTTTCATTCAACATTTAAAAAAATTGACACATTGAAGCTGTATCACAGTTTAGTAAAGTTTCCCCACTACTCCTCAATACTCAAATGTGGACACCAGAAATACCAAATTTTACATAATAAAAACAATAATTTTGTAACTTAATACTCTATTTTAAAATAATAAGATTCATATTCAAACCTAAAAGCATCCACAACAAAATTCAACAGCAGAATGTGAAATTTCATATCCCACAAACAAAACGAACCCTAAATTCCCAATACTTATTCAAAAGGGAAACCCCATACAATTCAATTTCCCAATCAAATATCACAAGTTTGTTCAAATCACGAATCCAGACAATAAGAATCGAAATTACACGAAGGGAAAGGGGATTAAGGCACAGACAATTACCAGAAATAGTCGTCTAATTCACCGAATTATGGTTTGAATTCGATTCCAAGTTTAATTTCGATTCGATATTCAGGGGCTCTGAGATTTGATTTGAATTCAGTTCAGAGGGTCCGGCGCCCGCGGGCGGGGGGGGCGGCGGCCGGGCGGGGCGCGAAGGCGAAGGCGTTGGTTGCTGCTCTCTCGCGTCCACCTGGGATTTTTGCGGATCGACACGAAAAATCAGTTTCAGGTATTGCTGGCCAACAGTGACAAGCAAGTTCCGTTCTACTTTGATATGGTAGTGACACGTACACAAAGGCCACTCATGCGGGTCCGGAGCTATTTATCTGTTGCCACACATTAGGGCATCCATAGTTTCCAAGTTTTATTTTCTTGTTCAGCGGATGATGGTGTTTCAAACTTGGGACTCATTTAAACATGTTGAAATATTATTAAACTCCTAATTAATTTTCAATTCAAACATTTCCTATATAAAAAATTAAATTGTAATAAGTTTGTACTTATAAAATTTTTATAAAAATATATGTATCCATTGGGACTCATTTAAACATGTTGAAATATTATTAAACTCCTAATTAATTTTCAATTCAAACATTTCCTATATAAAAAATTAAATTGTAATAAGTTTGTACTTATAAAATTTTTATAAAAATATATGTATCCATTCTTAAATATACCAATTTGTTAAAAATGTACTGACACACCCCAACCCGGAATATTCACTAAGACTCCGAATCAAGCTGTGATGGCCGACACCTGGAAAGTGACGAAGCCATAAAGTATAGTGATGTGGAAAATATGAACAAATTTAAACCTAAAAGTGTCTAATGACAAGAGTGTGTTGTGAGCGGGAATGAACTCATTTCACACGCAATGTCATAGTATAAGTAAAGTACAATAGTGTGGGTAAGGATTGTACCCTCAGAGATAGCCACCTATACTGAAATTTGTCAAGAATCCTCGTTAATACAAACTTTCATCAGCTAAACCTGGATGGGCGAAAAACAGAAAACATGAGTGGGCAAAAACAAAGTTTTTTGAAACCATTTCTCTTTCCAAAAATAATAACCCATCACCGTAATACCCGTATAATTTCCCAAAAAATAATAATACATACGTATAAAGAAATCAGGCTCGAAAGCAATGAAAACCAAAGTATGTGTCTATGTAAGCCAGGTGATGTAAATCAATATAAAATAATATATCAGCCGGAGTCATCTAACGTGACCTATAAGGCTGAATCTATAGCTCATAACCAATTCCTGCAAACGAGTTGAAACCATCTAATGTGGTCTGTACGACAGGCTGGCTGTAAATAAATACGCTCAAGTGCTACGATCACGTGAAGGTTGTGTGAAGTATCACAAGTCACCTACGAGTTGGAACCACCTTATGTGGTCTGTACGACAAGCTGGCACCTGCCTTGGATCCAAGGTGAGCATACGGTGCGAGAGGTGAACGATTACGTGAAGGTTAAGCCCTTACCTCGGGCGGAGCACTAACATCGAGGGTGCAGGATAATGAGTTCTAAATACATTTATGCATAACCATACACAATGCAACCACTATCATCATAATGTACTCACCTAAAGCTTACCTAGGCCTCTGCAGTATCATTCCATATTATGCAAAACTATACTAATGCAAATACTAAGATATAATGCATCCTTGACATGGCATTTAATTCACAAATTCATTTAAAAACAATTTCTGGAAATCGTAAAGCATATATACATATATATAGAAAACAAAAGCCCACTCACCTGGAGTTCACGCTACAACTCCCTAGCACGAATATCGAGGCGTCCCGAACTATCTGCCCCTAGAACAATTATCAAATCACATCTCAGAATTCTTATCAATAGAATATATATAACTTACGTAAACACATCCTTAAGGACGTTCTAGAATGATTTGAGACCAAAGTTGGTAGGTCTACAACCTTACGTAACTCAATCCAGAAGATCCGCTCCTCGGATTTCGGATCAATAACTTCCAAGGATCCACATTATGCTTTTAAAATATCATCCTAAAATTTCATTATGATCCAATGGTTGGAGCTCCGCCAATTGCAAATTCAAGTGGCGGTCAACGTCTTATTTTACGAACTTACAAATCCAATTTGGGAAGATCCGTGCGTCAGATTCCTGATCCGTAAGTTCCCATGATCCTCAAATATTATGTACTACAACATATTAAAGTTTGGTGACGATCCAACGATTGGATCGTCAATTCATATTTTTAGTAAGTAACGCACCTTAATCAAACTAGATTCATAATAATCAAATCACATCATATGGATATCAAATTTGAGATCAATATATCGATTTATCGTAAAATAGCATTGGCGGTCCACTGGCCACGTGCCGCCACTGGTGGCGGTCGGCCGTCCCGACTCGTCGAAAAATTCAACTATTTTTAAAAATTCTCAAACTTCATAGAAATAAAGATCTCAATGAGTGAAACAACTTTCATACCTGTGACTAAGGCCAATTTGGCCGGGAAAAGCCCAAATTTTGCCACGAACCTCTGGAAACCCTAAAAGGGTGAACTTCGATTCGTCCCTTCCGTCGCTCCGCTGCCCACAATGTTGATTGGGCTTTGTTCCTAGACACTAAAGACACCTGAAGATGGTGATGGTTGACGGAAGAGCTTGCAGAAACGACAACGATTCGCTAAAGAACCCACGGCACCGTCGGGGTTGATCTTCATAAAACATGGATCCAATCTCGTCTAACTTGGACATAAATGAAAAGGAAATGATGATGGGTTGTTCTCCTGTTAGTGGTTCCTTTGAATCGTCGGAAAAATTGACGGAAATGGCAATGGAATTGTGTAGAAATTTGGGTCAAGGAACCGGGTCACGGTTTCAAAACGAGTCAAAGGGGAGAGCTCCTGATCCGCGGCTTTCTCCCTTTCTCCTTTCCCCTCCTTTCTTCTCTCCCCCTATTCGTCACTCACTTCTCTCTCTTCTCCCCATTTGCCTTCATCTCTCCTTCATTCTCTCCTTAATTTCCTATCTCCACTGCCTATCACCATTTTTCTTTAATCTGGGCTACACATGTGGCTCCAACAGATTTTTGTCCAAAAATCTAGAGCATTCTAGAATTTATTAATTTACAATTTTACCCTCAACTTTAAACGTTAATATCTCATTCGTTATAACTCCAAATTGCATTCCGTTTGCGCCCACGCATCCATAGTGATGAGTACTACAAGAATACGCCAAAGAAAACAAACCTTACATGACACGACACGGTAGTCAACAAAAGTCAACAATTTGCCTTGAAGGGCATTTTCATAGCTTTACTTATTAAAATTATATAAACCGTAAAATTGGGATACATGTACCCTTTTTTTAATATAAAATGTAACCATTTTTTTATAAAAAAAATTCATTCAATGTTTTCTCTAATCCATTTTTTAAACTTATATGGGTACATTCTATTTCGTTGATTTGAGAATGTATCCATGTCAAGGTCAAGTTTAATAGAAGAAATTTAATAATGTTATTAAGCCTAATATCCTTTTTTTTGTGCTTTTGAAAAATGTACCCATGTTTTGGTACAATAAATTTTTGGTTAGTTTTGATAAATGTGCCCGTGTGTGTGTGTACACACACAACATATTGAAGAGTATAATTCATCTTTAATATTTTTAATCCCATAATTATGCATGTTATTTGAAATCTCATTAATATAAATAACTTCATTTTTAATTTAAAAATATGATAACCTACATAAAAATACATTATTACATTAAATCAGGAACTTCGATCAAAAACTAAAAATCACAAATGTTTCAGTCAAAGAACATTGGTAGTTAGGGACCGCATCCAAAGTGTCCCTTCAAATAATCTGATCTAGTTAGTCTCAAATAAAAACTTCAACTTTTTCTTGTATGCTAGAAACATAAAATCACAAAAAGTAGATGTTAAGCGACTAGCATTTGGTTTACTAATTAATAATTGTCTTCATGTGGTTAAGAAAGATTCTTATATATATGTTCGACTTACAGATACAAAAATTGTTTATATACGATGAGTTTGATACGTAGATGTAGTTGGCCATTATAGTGAACAAACTATCTGCAATTCGCCAATTCCCCATGCGTTATGATAATTATTATTTGTATTATTATTATCTTTCATTTCTTCACAAGGTATGAAAAGTATTTTGAGGAACCATAATTTTTTTCTTTCTGTTTTTGCTAACACTCAGATGTATTTTATAAGGAATGTATAAATTTGAAATCTTAATAATAAATTTCCAATTATAAGATATAAGGATAAACTCAAACATCTTAGGTTAGTGTCAATCCATTTCACATGATTAATTTGAATGACATTCAATTGAATCGAATTGATAAGGAATATGTACTTAATCATAAATTCCCAAATATAAGATATAAGGATAAACTCAAATATTTTAGGTTAGTGTCAAGTCATTTGACACGATTTATTTGAATGACATTCAACTTAATAGAATTAATAAGAAATGTAAATATAGAATCTTAATCATAAAATTTTAATTATAAGATACAAGAATAAACTCAAACATCTTAGGTTTGAGTCAAGTCATTAACATGGTTAATTTGAATGACATGCAACTGAAATAAATTGATAGGATGAAAACCAGGGCATCCTAAATTTTCAATATTTTCTTTTCTTTTTCAATGAAGGAGAGAATGGCGATTCGAACTTGGGACTTATTTAACTATTGCTTGTGATCACTTAGAGTCCCTCTTCCATCAATAGGAACTCCCAGCCCGTCCACCACACACCTAGCTAGCCTTTCTCGCAAGAACATCCACAATGGATCTAGTACGCTTTTGCAAAAACTCATTGTAATAGAAAATCATTTAGTTATCTAATTGTGACGTGATAAATAGAAACATAGTGTTGTTAATAAAAAAAAAGAAATTTTCACAATAAAAATCAAGTAACAAACCATTTTCGATTTGAGTGAACTCTTACAAGGATGACTTATGATTAGTAATGACGGAAAAATAAACAGTTTAGATTACAAAAAACATTGTGAAGCATGCCAGAGAAAGTAGTTAATGTCATATTAATTATGTTACTAATTATTGTTTGAGCACTCCTGTGTTATTATCTTTGTATTTCATTTTTTCACAAGGTACGAAAAGCATTTTGAAAAATTCAAGTATAATTTATAAGGAATGTACAAATATGGAAGCAAATACAATCTTAATCACAAATTTCCAATTATTAATATGAAGATATACTCAAACATCTTAAGTTAGTGTCAAGCCATTTTGCTCGGT